GAAGAGGTATGGAGAGAGTGGACATCCTTGTCGTGTTCCTGATTTAAGTGGGATGGCTTTGAGTTTTTCTCCGTTTAATTTAATGTTAGCTGTTGGCTTGCTGTAAATAGCTTTTATTATATTTAGGTAGGACCCTTGTATCCCTATTCTCTCCAAGACCTTTATCATAAAGGGGTGTTGAATTTTGTCGAATGCTTTTTCAGCATCTAGTGAAATGATCATATGGTTTTTTTCTTTCAGTTTATTTATATGGTGGATTACATTGATAGATTTGCGTATGTTGAACCAGCCCTGCATCTCTGGGATGAAGCCTACTTGATCATAATGGATAATTTTTCTTATGTGTTCTTGGATTCGGTTTGCCAGTATTTTATTGAAAATTTTTGCGTCGATGTTCATGAGTGAGATCGGTCTGTAATTCTCTTTCTTGGTTGGGTCTTTTTGTGGTTTTGGTATCAGGGTAACTGTAGTTTCATAAAAGGAATTTGGCAATGACTCTTCTGATTCTATATTGTGAAATACATTAAGGAGTATAGGTATTAGTTCTTCTTGGAAGTTCTGGTAGAATTCTGCATTGAAACCATCTGGTCCTGGGCTTTTTTTCGAAGGGAGATTTTTGATAACCTTTTCTAATTCTTCGCGAGAAACCGGTCTATTTAGATCATTCACCTGGTCTTGGTTTAGCTTTGGTATGTGGTACTTATTTAAAAAAATGTCCATTTCTTTTGTATTTTCCAGTTTTGTGGCATACAGGCTTTTGTAGTAAGATCTAATGATTCTCTGAATTTCCTCTGTGTCTGTGGTTATGTCCCCCTTTTCATTTCTGATCTTATTTATTTGCGTGTTCTCTCTCTGTCGTTTAATTAGTTTGGATAGGGGTTTGTCGATCTTGTTGATTTTCTCCAAGAACCAGCTTTTTGTTTCATTGATTCTTTGGACTGTTTTCTGTGTTTCTATTTTGTTGATTTCAGCCCTCAGTTTTATTATTTCCAGTCTTCTACTTCTCCTGGGCGCGTCTGCTTCTTTTTTTTCTAGAGCTTTCAGGTGTGTTGTTAAGTCCCCAATGTATGCATTCTCCGTTTTCTTTAAGTGGGCACTTAGTGCTATGAACTTTCCTCTTAGCACTGCTTTCATTGTGTCCCATAGGTTTGAGTATGTTGTCCCTTTATTTTCATTAAATTCAAGGAAGACTTTAATTTCTTTCTTGATTTCTTCCTTGACCCAGGTGTGGTTCAGTAGTTGACTGTTCAGTTTCCATGAGTTTGTCGGTTTTTTGGGGGCAGCGTGGTTGTTGCCTTCTAATTTTAATCCGTGATGATCTGATAAGACACAGGTGGACACTGATATTTTTTTGTATCTGTGGAGGTTTCCTTTGTTTCCGAGTATGTGGTCAATTTTTGAGAAGGTTCCATGAGCTGCAGAGAAGAAGGTATATTCTTTCCTATTTGGGTGGAATGTTCTATAGATGTCTGTTAAGTCCATTTGCTTCATTACCTCCAATAATTCTCTTAATTCTCTATTAGGTTTCTGTCTGATTGACCTGTCCCTTGGAGAGAGAGGTGTGTTGAAGTCTCCTACTACTAGTGTGTGTGGTTTGATGTCTGCCTTGAGTTCTAGTAATATTTCTTTTACATAAGTAGGTGCTTTTATATTGGGGGCGTATATATTCAGGATTGAGACCTCCTCCTGATGAATTGTTCCTGTTATGAGTATAAAGTGACCGTCTCGGTCTCTTCTGATTGATTTTAGTTTGAAGTCAGTTTTGTTAGAAATTAGTATGGCCACACCTGCTTTTTTCTTAGGACCATTTGCTTGAAACACCTTTTCCCAACCCTTTACTCTGAGTAGGTGCCTGTCTTTGTGGTTGAGATGTGTTTCTTGCAAACAGCAGAATGTTGGATCCTGTTTTCGTATCCAATCTTTTAGCCTGTGCCTTTTTATAGGTGAATTGAGCCCATTAATATTAAGTGATATTAATGACCAGTGGTTGTTTACTCCGGTTATTCTTATTGCTTTTGGTAGTAGAGATTGTCTCCCTTCTTTGAGATGTGCTCGTGAAGGGTCATTAGATGCCTGGGTTATTGTAGGCAGTGTTGGCAGTGTTGGATTCCTTGGGTTGCGATTTTCCTTCTATTACTTTCTGTAGGGCTGGATTTGTGGCTACGTATTGTTTAAATTTTTTCTTATCATGGAATGTTTTGTTTTCTCCATTGATAATGAATGATAGCTTGGCTGGGTATAGCAGTTTGGGTTTGCATCCATGGTCTCTTAGCTTCTGCAGAACCTCTATCCAGGACCTTCTGGCTTTCATAGTTTCCATCGAGAAGTCAGGTGTAAGTCTGATCGGTTTACCTTTATAAGTTACTTGCCCTTTTTCTTTTGCAGCTCTTAATATTTTTTCTTTAACCTGTATATTTTGTGTTTTGATTATTATATGGCGAGGAGATGTTTTTCTTTGATCCAGTCTGTTTGGTGTTCTGTATGCTTCTTGAATATTTAAGTGAATATCTTTCTTTAAGTTGGGAAAGTTTTCTTCCATAATTTTGTTGAAAATATTTTCTGGGCCTTTGAGCTGTGACTCTTCTCCTTCTTCTATTCCTATTATTCTTAGGTTTGGTTTTTTTATTGTGTCCCATAGTTCCTGAATGTTTTGTGTTGAGAATTTGTTGGCTTTGCTGTTTTCTTTGATCTGTTCGTTTATTTTCTCTATGGTGTCCTCAGCATCTGAGAGTCTTTCTTCTAGCTCTTGTATTCTATTGATTATGCTTGTTTCTGTAGACTCTGCTCGTTGGCCTAGATTTTCCATATCCAGCTGGTCCTCAGTTTGTATTTTCTTCTTTGCCTTCATTTCAGTTTTCAATTCTTGAACTGTTTCCATTACCTGTTTGATGGTTTTTTCTTGGTTTCCCAGGGTATCATGTACGTATTTACTCATTTCTTCAAACTTTTTGTTATACTTCTCATCCATTTCTGTAAGGGCATTTTTTACATGTTGTTTAAGGGACTCTATTATCTTCATAAAGTCGATTTTTTCCATTTCTTCTGTGTTAGGTTGTTCAAATACTTCTGTTGTAAGATCATTGGGTTCTGATGTTTTCATGTTGTTTTTCGGATTATTGGGAGAATTCTTGCCTTGGCGCCTGCCCATCTCCTCCTATTGATCCTATCCAATGGGTCCTTTAAAAACCGGATCAGGTTTCCCTGCTGGCCAAGGGCTCCGCTTACAAAATGCCCTCACTCTCTTTCGTGGTTCCTGCTGCAGGCCAAGAACCCTCTCACCCCTCTGAAGGATCTTCAGGACAGGACCAGGCTCCCCTTGTGCCAGTGACCTGGCCAACCAAAGGCCTACCTCTTTGATTCGATTGTAGTAGGGCGATCTGCTCTCCTTATTGCACGCCTGTTCCCGCCGCTTGGGTCTGCCTCTGCGCCGGTCCCCGAAAGCCTCTTCCTGTATGCGGTGTTGCTCCGCCGCGTCTGGCCGCCGCCGCTCCGCCGCGTCTGGCCGCCGCCGCTCCGCCGCGTCTGGCCGCCGCCGCTCCGCCGCGTCTGGCCGCCGCCGCTCCGCCGCGTCTGGCCGCCGCCGCTCCGCCTCTGTGCGTCTGGCCGCCGCCGCTCCGCCTCTGTGCGTCTGGCCGCCGCCGCTCCGCCTCTGTGCGTCTGGCCGCCGCCGCTCCGCCTCTGTGCGTCTGGCCGCCGCCGCTCCGCCTCTGTGCGTCTGGCCGCCGCCGCTCCGCCTCTGTGCGTCTGGCCGCCGCCGCTCCGCCTCTGTGCGTCTGGCCGCCGCCGCTCCGCCTCTGTGCGTCTGGCCGCCGCCGCTCCGCCTCTGTGCGTCTGGCCGCCGCCGCTCCGCCTCTGTGCGTCTGGCCGCCGCTGCTCCGCCTCTGTGCGTCTGGCCGCCGCCGCTCCGCCTCTGTGCGTCTGGCCGCCGCCGCTCCGCCTCTGTGCGTCTGGCCGCCGCCGCTCCGCCTCTGTGCGTCTGGCCGCCGCCGCTCCGCCTCTGTGCGTCTGGCCGCCGCCGCTCCGCCTCTGTGCGTCTGGCCGCCGCCGCTCCGCCTCTGTGCGTCTGGCCGCCGCCGCTCCGCCTCTGTGCGTCTGGCCGCCGCCGCTCCGCCTCTGTGCGTCTGGCCGCCGCCGCTCCGCCTCTGTGCGTCTAGCATCAGTATTTTGTATACAAGAGATTTGTTTCCAAAATGGCACATCTTAAGGGTCTGATATTCTTGGAAAGTGGGAGCCTATATACATCAAAGAAGGCATTTTTATTACATTGGGTTATGCAACACTTTGGCCAGCCTCCTTAACTTCATCTGTTTAAGGGTTCATTCTTCCTTATTTGGCACAGGTCCCAGTAAGAGGCCTTCATATTTGTGGTTAGCAACATGAATGAATCACAAACTGTGGAGGAGCTCTTCAGTTAGTAGAATTGGCTTCCTGCCAAAAAGACAGTGCCATATATGGGGTCAGGGCAAAGCTGTGATTGGTTGAGCTCTGGAGTGTATAGAAAACATTCTTGTGATGCCTGTTTGCTTTCTTTTAAAACAAAAACAAAACAAAACACCACAAGCAGCAGGCTTCCAAGTGTACCAGAATAGGAAGTAACAAAGCACTGTGCAGGTTTTTCTGACGGTAGAGTTAAGCAATAGCAACATGACTTTGAGCAGTTAAAATACTAGGAGTTGAACCTTTGACTTCTGCCGTCTGCTTGTGATGTAGGAAAGGCAGCATTTGTTAAACATCCGTTGTCTACCTGCCTGCTTTTCTAAATGGTTTTATGTGATTAAAGAATTAGTTCTAAGCCCACAGGGTTATCATACTACTAGGTTTAGATTCACTCCTTAAAAAATATTGTAGTTTTCAAAAATTGACAGACGTCAAAACAGTGTTTACTGTCGAAGGTTAGCCATTTCTGCTTGTGTCTAAGGTGGAGACTACTGCAACTGTAGGCGGTAACCCTCTAGCCATTCCAGTCTGATCCAGTAACTACTGTGCTTCTTCCCGTGCAGGCGAACGCCCTTTCTGGACCTTCTCTTAGCCAGGCGCCAGCTCATCTCTATGGCAGTAGATTAAATCCAAATCCACCCATGGCCGTTCTCATAGCACAGTCTGAAAGCAACCAAACAGGTAAAGCCCTCCCCGTGTGCACTTTCTCTGTTAGTTCATTTTCTTAAAACAAAAAATAAAGAAAGAAAGAAAACCAGCTAGGGAATTGCATTTTTATTTTGCTTTTCTTCTTTAAAAACCAAAAGAACCACAATTTGAAATAAGTAGACGCCATGCTGCAAAGCACTGACGCGTTTTTTCTGTCTGAAATGTAGCTGTTTGAGCTGAGCCGCGAGCAGTGTCTCTTGTGACTTTAGTGATAGATGCTTTCAGTCATCCATTCTGTGCAGTGCAAGGAACACAACATTGGGGTTTGCCGGGAATAGCAAAAGCCTTTATTTGCATAATTCATGAAATTGAATTACACAAACTTGGTTTTAAAAAATATCCTGTTAGAGGGTTTCTACAGTGTTTAGTAATTCTGTGATTTTTTTTTTCACCAGTTGATAGTTGTAGTGTTTGCCTCTTGTATTGCTTTAATTACCTCTGCATTTACTTTGTTTCATTCCCTCTCTAAGGGTTTGTTGGCATGTCCTAGTCTGCCTGGGAAAGGAATGGCTTTACCAGTTCACAAGAATGGGTCACTCACCTGTCTTTACCCTTCAAGGGTCAGTGGCTCCCTGAGTTAGAGTAAGGGGTGGAGGGAACCTGAGAGAGGCCAGAGAGACTCTAAAAGACTCTGCAGGTGGAATGAAAGCCACTTGGGAGATGAAGATCTCTTCTATATCAGCAATATATTTATCAAGGGTTAAAATCATTTTAATAAAGGTTCTTAGGGTGTTTGTTTGTTTGTTTGTTTCTTTTTTTGCCAATCTGGATATATGTTACATTTATTTTATTCTTATGAAGAGTCACTTAATTTTAGACTTGGCGTATATGGTGCTGTAGAAATGTATTTTGTGACTTTGTTCGGGATACAAGGTGTTAAAAAAATACAGCGCATGAGGATTTGCTGTGATAAGCATTCAGATTAGCTCTCTACAGCTGTGATTCATTACTTTAACCCTAGAAATTAAAAGTGGCTGAGGGGAGGGCAGTACAAATTCAAACCACGCTTCTGTGCTGTAATATTGAAAGAAATAAAAGAAGAGAACATAATCCATGGCCTTCTACGCCCACAAAAACGTGTGCAGACAACGTTTTACACACCACAGTTCAGTGGCTCTCAGCAGCAGCGTGCCAAGTCTTCCACTGTCATAACTGGGCTCGATATGTATTTTAGGAAAACCAGAGTAAGACTTTGAAACCTCTTATCTAGTAAGAGAGACACTTTATAAGCTCTGAAATATTTATACTGCAGATCAAGATCTCGGAGACAATAGCCGAAGCCTAGTTGGTCGAGGAAGCTCACCCCGAGGAAGCCTCTCACCAAGGTAAGCATTGTTCATACTGCAAACCATAGGGAAGGAACACTGAGATTGGGAACTTGGTTATCTTGAGCAGTAAAGTGTATATTTGTTGAGGCTCTACAAACATTTTGTAAATAAGAACCCTGTCTAGACAGTCAAGAAAAATGATTCTAAATTAATTGAAATGTTAATTTTAAACACGTTGTTAGATTTCTAAGCTAAAAGGAATACATTTTCATGTTTTCAGTCAGTTTGAACTATTTACATTTGTATATTTAGTTTCTGATACAATTAATGCATTGACTTGCATGATCATTTTTTATCATAAAATATCTGAAGATTGAGACCCAAGACTATCACTGTTGGGTTACAGCTTTGGCTAAGTTTCTTAGTTGCTACCCCACAAATGAAGCTTTTAATAAGTCCCTCTGTTTCCTTTTAGATTGTTTGAAGAGGGTATAGCCAATATATATGTGTTTGATTAATTTTCTTAGGTTTTAGGTGGTACCCCAGAACCCCCCAACACTGTTTAATCTGTCAGAGTGGGATTATGGAGTCGAATAGCTTCTGTTCTGGAGTGGGTGCCAGTTTACAGAATGGCATGGAGTTTGTTCCATTTTAAACCTCTGCATCCTTCTCTAGTTTGTTTTTTCTGTGTTCTCCAGTTTTATAAACTATGCCTTACATTAAGTTGGTTGAGCTCAAAAACAGAAGGAAAAGCCAATTCTTGGTTCTTTTCATATAAGGAAGGAAGTAACTGCAAATGAGGACCTTTCATATTCTGGCACAAGGAACATTCAGGTTGACTACCCAATTTTTAAGGGGCACATTCTTTGTCCTTACAGACACTAGTCCAGTAACCTCACCTGTTTCCTAATGGTACATTGAGTATACCTTCCCCACATAATTCCTGTAAGAAGTAATGCTGTTTTTCCTTATTAAATTCTGGAGGAAGTATTCTTCATCTGGAAACCAGAGATCGGAACTACAGAATGAGAGAGTTATGAAATTGCTGGTCTGTAATTTTATATGTACTGTTAGTTTCTTTTCAGATGAGACTGTTAATGGGATCTTGCTCCTGTTTAGTACAGGAAGAGTTTTCTTGTCCCTTTTAAACCTATAACATCACACAAGTTATGTAAAATGTGTTCAGAATCCCTTAGTGCAATTTTGCTTCGTGAAATTTTTATTTTTTAAAAAACAGGCCATAGTACAGTGAATGATACTAAATTATTTTCATTGTGCATTTAGAACGCTACATTACTCTTTAAATATTAGCCTGGAGTGGTTCAACTTATCCTTCCATAACATATTCAGTGGCCAGCTCATGATGCTTTGCCTCACGGCTTGAAGTCTCTCATTTTAAGGGATTGCTATATAACCAGCACCAGTGCATTGCTAGAGACGCTGTGTCCCAGGTGTGCACCCTGTGAGCACGCCACAGAAGCCCTCCCAATCCCACACCTCCTTTCTCCATATTTGGAGAATTTTGTCTGTAAAACCACTTTGTAGAAAATACTCAGAAAACTTAATATATCTTTCCTGATATATTAAGGTAGAGTGGAGACCAGATACCAAAGATGGCTTGCCCCCATTTGTTAATGTAAAATCACAACTGGACATGGGAACATCACATGTTCATTTTCATTCAGGAAACATTTATCTTGGAAGGGGTAAGCTCTGTTTGAAGAACTAACCTAAACATTTTAAAAATTAAAAATTTAAAAAATGCATTCTATACATAAAATTGCTTTGTACTGAATGATCTTCCTCAGAACCGAAACAGGTTTTCATTTTCAATTCAGAATTGTTAGATTTTCTTTTCACTGAACTTGAGAATTTCCTTGGTTGTGAATTCAAGTGTCTCCCACAGTGTTACACTTGTGGTAGTGTTTATATTAAGAAGACAGTGGTAGAACTTTCTGGCTATTTTAATTTAATGTATATGTATGCTTTGCCTGCATGTATGTATGTGTACCACATGAAGACCTAGTCCCAGGGTGGTCAGAAGTGTGCATCAGGTCCTCAGGAGTTAGAGTTACAGATGATTGTGGCCACCATGTATGTTCTGAGCACTAAACCTGGGGCTTCTGCAAAAGCAGCAAGTTCTCTTAACCCCTGAGCTGTCTCTGCAGCCCCTTCCTCTTTCTGAGTATTTTGAGTAAAGTTCTCCTACTGTCTGTTTCCCGTATCTTATAAAGAAAGTCATACTGTTTGTTTGCAATCTGTTTCAGAGATCATTATTAGTGTGTTTTCTAATGATTTTTTTTAATTTCCTACTGTGTTCAGCTATTTTAATTTCTCATTTAGGGAGGAAGGGTGATAATGACTCAATTATGGCTTTATGAGACCTGATACCTCTGCCATAGGCCACTTGGTACCAGAAAAATTTGTACAGGAAAAGGGGCTCTTGGCATAAGGCAGAAAACCAATGCACAGCTACTTAGAAGCATTCCCTTCTTTTTTTAACTTGAGAATTAATATTTTTGACAGATCCCCTGTAAGCAATTTACAGATTCGCTATGATCAACCAAGCAATAGCAGTTTGGAAAATCTGCCTCCAGTAGCAGCAAGTATTGAACAACTTTTGGAGAGGCAGTGGAGTGAAGGACAGCAATTTTTATTAGAGCAGGGTACTCCTAGTGACAGTAAGTATTCTTTTTCTTGTGTCTAAAAATGGAACAGCATTGGGTGGAACGACATATAGATTAATAGATGCAGAAGAAAGTGTTTACCAAGATAAGAATGACATGATGGCGTACACTCCGTCAAAGTAGTGGCTTTGGCAGAGCTGACTCTACAGTGTTAACTCCAAACTTGTCTTTGTTACTATATGATCACAGACAAGGGTTTGGTTTGGTGTGGTGTGGTTTTTAAGTTCTTTATTCTCTTACTTTTGGAATTGGGAATAATACTGTACCTGTAACCTAGGGTTGTTATGAAGGTAAATTACATGAAAAGTTGGGGAAATGGCCGTAAGTGCTTTTTGTTAGATGGCTATTGTTAACACGCAGCGTGCTGCTCTTTCTCCGTCGTACTATACTTTGTTCTTGTCAACTTGTGGAAGCACACAGTGTCTCCTCTCAGCCTGGCATTTGAAAAATATATGCCTACTCCCTGAGATCTTTTAAAACAATTTATCTAGGGGCTGGAGAGATGGCTCAGCAGTTAAGAGCACTGGCTGTTTTTCCAGAGGAGCGGGGTTCAATTCCCAGCACCCACATGACGGCACACAACTGTCTGTAACTCCTTTACAGGGGATCCAACACCCTCACACAGACATGTATGCAGGCAAAACACCAATGCACATAAAATACAAATAAATTAAAAATATATCTAGTCAGGGATAGCTAGGTATCTGTTTTACAATTTAAAGGAATGATAATTAGGCAGGCATGGTGATACCTGTTTCTAATCCTGTCACTTAGGAGATAGACGCAGGTGGCTCACGCCATTAATCCCAGCACTGTGAGGTAGAGGCAGTCGAATCTCTGTGGGTTTGAGGCCAACATGGTCTTTATAGAAAGTTCAGGCCCCGTCAAGGGCTCCTTGGTGAAACCCTGTCCCTCGAAAAGGAATAGTAATTAGTAAATTTTATATTTAATTGAAATGTTCACCAATTTATGAAATTATATGATGTGCCTTGTATATACGTATTTAGTACTTTTTAAGTATTAAAACTACAAGGGAAAATACCAAAACAAACAAACAACCCCCCCCCCCCCAAAAAAAAACCAGAAAAAGCAAAGTTGGAACAGATGAGGGAGAAGAGCAGGTTGTTTCTGTCACTTTGACATGGGAGCTTTCACTGCTTTGTTTTATGAAAACAAGATTTTTTTTTAAGTTGCTAGTGAGCCACATGCTTTAAATTGATATTTTTATGAATGGTGCCCCTGTCTAAAACTGCCAATCGTGAGGAACTTGATGTGCAGATAACCTCTTACAGGTTAGCCAGAGGGTAGGTCTCATCTGGGCTCCCCTTAAGGGAGAAAGTTAGAGCTGTGGTTGTCTGAAGGCCCTGAGGTCGTGTTAAGTAAATACAACTTTTTAATACCTGGAGTTTTTAAAGTGTCCATCACTGTGGCCTAACAGCAGTGCTCTTGATTGTCAGCTGGACGTCCCACCCTTGGAGGAATTAACACAGTATCTGAGGAGGTCTGGCGGGCAGGACGCTTGTTAACAGAAGAGGCCTTTCTCTTGGAAGAGAGAAGTAGCAGGGTGCAGATAACAGCGCTCCCTGCTGGGGAGCCTGCAGAGAGACAGGTTGAGCAGCTGGGATGGCAAGCTTTCTGCCGGGTGTCTGTGGCATGCTTGGGTTTTGTTGATGCTGCTGCTACTGCTGTTACTGTTTTGGGTTTTTGAGGAAAATAAAATGCCATCTTTTTTTTCTCTGAGGATATAAACCTACTTGAACTTGATTGGGTTGGGATTCTGTTTATTTGATCAGTATTGGCAGCAAATCTTCAATGTGGCATGTCTAGGAACAGTCTTTTATGTATACACTCCTATATCTATATTCAAATCTAGGAATAAAGCTCAGTCATTTGGTGTACAGAATTTCCACATTTTCATTTCATTTCTAAAGCAGTGATGCTGTGACCATAAAAGTCTTAGTCATGGGAGTGGAATTGCCATTACTGAAAGTCACACAAATGATTTGCTAGTTTTAGGAATGCTGAAGTCATTACACCAACTTCAAGTTGAAAATCGAAGATTAGAAGAACAAATTAAAAACTTGACTGCCAAAAAGGAACGTCTTCAGTTACTGAATGCACAGCTTTCCGTGCCTTTTCCAACAATAGCAACCAATCCTAGTCCACCTCATCCGATACACACATTTCCTGCACAGACAGGTGAGTGTTGAAGGAAATGTCACCTACATAATCAACAGTAACTCTTTACCAGTTATGTGAAGAGGTAGGAAACAAATGGTGGGTTATTTCTGCGGGACATAGACAATCCCTGTTAATTGTCTTGAGTTTGTTTTCACTTCAGTGCATAGTTTAATGGTAAAATTTATTTAAATGATCTCATAATTGACTTAAAGCTACAGTATTCAACACTACCCGTGCCCCATTGTAATTAGTTTCAGGAATAACAGGACTGTAGGCTTCAGCATAAGTTTTTAAAATAGCCTTTAATTTTACACATAATACAATTAATTTAATAGGGTATATATATATATATATTTTATCTTTTACTCTTTTTAGCTCCTACTACGGATTCATTGAACAGCAGTAAGAGCCCACATATAGGAAACAGCTTTTTACCTGACAATTCTCTTCCTGTATTAAATCAGGTAATTTTTGTGTGTGTGGTTATATTCATTTGTGTGTTTTATTTGTGAATAGTAGCATATTACACTTGATTTAAAATTATTTTAAACAGTTTTGATGTGCTCTTTCCAATGTGTGTTTTTCTTTTCCCTTACGTTAGGACTTGGCGTCCAGCGGACAGAGCACCAGCGGTTCTTCTGCTCTTTCTACCCCCCCTCCCGCTGGGCAGAGTCCAGCTCAGCAAGGCTCCGGAGTTAGCGGGGTTCAGCAGGTCAATGGTGTGACAGTAGGGGCCCTGGCTGGTGGAATGCAGACTGTAACATCCACCATTCCTGCCGTGTCTGCAGTTGGTGGAATAATTGGAGCTTTGCCAGGTAACCAACTGGCAATTAATGGCATCGTAGGAGCTTTAAATGGCGTGATTCAGACCCCTGTCACAATGTCCCAGAACCCTGCCCCCCTCACCCACTCCAGTGTACCACCTAACGCGGCTCATCCAATGCCGGCAGCTGCACTGACTAACAGGTAAGAAACTGACTTCAATGGAGTTTTTTATTATTTTTTTGTTTTATTTTCCATGCAACATGTTACCAGTGTTGCCCTTGTTCTGGATTAGGAGTTTTAATGTATTTTATAGATGTTCTCTAGGAAAAATGGCTACCCAATCTCATTGAGTAAGTGCTTGTTACTCATTGTAATTTTTAGACTGATAAAATTCAATTAAAAATCAGTTTCAGTAACATAATATATACATTCCATGTTGAAAATGTCATTCTCGTTTTGTGATATGTGGCTTTAAATATTACTCTATTTTTTTAAAGATTCATTTATTTATTGTGTATGCAGTATTCTGCCTACATGCATGCCTGCAGGCCACAAGAAGGCACCAGATCTCATTACAGATGGTTGTAAGCCACCATGTGGCTGCTGGGAATTGAACTCAGGACCCTTAGACGAGCAGGTGATGATGCTCTTAATCACTGAGCCATCTTTCCAGCCCCCTAAATGTTACTCTTTCTTATCCCTGCCTTCTGCATATGTGTATTTTACTCTGCAAAGGTATTATTATGGCAGACACATGATACTGGTTCTGCAAGATTTAGCAGCACAATTTTGATATTCTCTAATCAAAGATTTTGATGAAGCAAGGGATAGATGATTATTACATATACTTTATTACAAAAACCCATAAATTGTTTTTGTACGTATTTAAAGCGACTTCTTGGCAGTGCGTTTCTGCTTTGTTGTATACATGTGTATAGAAAAAAGAATGATTTGTGCATAATGAAGTGTTGTAGGTAAAGCTGAGTTTGTTTAATGCCTACTGGAAAGGCTGTCTTTGACGTCATCCCTGAGAAGGCTGCCGTAGAAGTAAGGGTTGCAATGGTTTTTCAGTGCTTCGGGGCTAGGACTCCTGTCCGACCAACAGAGACAGATGTTCATCCAGCAGCAGCAGTTCCAGCAGCTGCTAAACTCCCAGCAGCTCACACCTGTAAGTTCTTTGAGATTTTTTTCTTTCTTTTTTTTTTTGTTAGAGTCTGGTACTATAGACTATAATAGATGTTGATTATGGTGAAGACCCCTCTGTTGTGAATGTCTATCCATAAAGTTGCCTTACCCTTTGACATAACCTATACCATCACATTTGTTGATTGTTTTACAAATGTTAGAACATGTATTGTAGGGCTCACTAGGCTCTGGGATTGGAAGCAAGCTGTATCTTCCCGGTGGTTCACTCTGAGGTGGGAGGTAATGAGTACACACTGTTTTGTTTTGTTGGTGATAAATTCCAAAAAGGCAAATGAAATAGGATTAGGGCTTTAAATGGTCCAAAGGATGAAGTAAGATGAGGGCCATTTTACTTTTTATGGTGTTGGGAGTAGAACCTAGGGCCTCAGTGCGATAGGTTTGCTGGACTAGCATTCTATTACGGCTCTCCATCCCGAGTTCGAGTTTTAGACGGAGTGGTCCAAGCTTCTTGGGAGATGGCATTTGAACCATCATTCTGCCGCCTCTCTCTGATAGTTCGATCAGTGGTGCTGATCTTGGTTCATTCATGCCCTAGTTTTTCTTTCTTTCTTAAAGGATTCATTGGAGAATATTGAACTTGAGCAATGATATATGATAGTGATGAAGGGTTTAGAAAGATTAGTTGCTGTATGGAAACTGTTTTAGGAGGAAGAAAGATGGGCTCAACAGAAATAGGAATCACAAAGTTTGTATCCTGATACAGTGCCATCTCTGGTAAGATATCTGTAGGATTGTATATTTTGCTGATAACAAGAAAAAGAGGAACCTTGAACAATTGGGTGTTGACTTCTACAGACATGTAGAGGAATAGAAAGGAAGTCATTGTCCTGAGAAGTAGTAATTCCATTATCACATACAGTTCATCCTTCAGACCCATGGGTTCCCCATCTGTTGGTTTCTTTGTTTTCAAATCAAAAAGATTTAAAGAAAAATGTGCATTTGTTCTGAATTGTTTTTGCTACAATTCCCTGGACAACACTGTGTAACTATACATTATTATTCATTATTTTCTTTGTATTCTAGCAATGGTTTTGAAGTGTATGGGAGGATTGCACAAGTTAAATACAGACACTGTGCCTGTTTTGGAGACAGTATTGATATGTATCTCTAGCTGGCTTCAAATTCATAGTCCTCTGTCAGCCCCTCAAGTGCTGCAATTTCAGGCATGTGAAAAACTTAGCTTTTTAACCATGTCCTAAAAATGTAAGATAAAGTATACTTCTAATATTTTAGTGTATGGGATAGGATAGCACATGCCTGTAATCCTAGCACTTGGGAGTGGAAGCCAGACTAACCATATGAGACAGTTTTAGAAAACCAAAATTCTGCCCTCGGGGTGGCCCCTGTCGCTGCCACCGTTTGTCTCTGCACACTCCAGTGGTCATTCCCTGTGTCTTCCTGACCTGGCCTGGCAGTCACTTCTGACAGTTGTCATTCCCTCCAGCTGCTGCGACATCACAGTCCTACCCAGCTAGTCCCTTTTGTTCCCCTTTTGGATCTTCTCCTCTTCAACCTTCTTAGCTAAAAGAGATCAGCAGTGCCCTTCTCTCTCAAGTGTTTCAGAGTGGTCCATGTGCAGATGTAGGCATCTTCAGATTAGACCTCTGTGCAGAGCATTCCACTCTGGATCCACCCGCTTACTGCATAGCTGCCCTTGCACTCACAGCTCCTAGGGTGAGCTGCCGCGCTTGGCTGCCCCACTCGCCCCAACTCCATTCTTGCTGTCCCTCTGGTGCTGTGACAGAACACTGACCCAAACAATGTACGGAAGAAAGGGCTTATTGTATGTAGTTGACAGGTTTACCATCCAGGGAAACACAGCAGAAACTCTGCTTGCTGGCTTATTCCTCTTGGCTTGTCCAGCCTGCTTTCTTCTCGCTGTCTTGGGGTGGCACTCTCTTCAGATGCCTGGACCCTCCTACATTAGTCACTAGCCAAGAAAATGCCCAGCAGACTGTAGGCCAGTCTGACAGAGGTATCTTTTGAGTTAAGCGTCTCCCTTCAGATTACATGCTTGTGTGTGAACCAGAACCAAAGCAGCCCAGTGCCCAAACTGCTGCTATTCCCATTCTGTGTTCACGATGGACCGCCTCATTTCTCCTATCTTTACTTTGCTGTGTTTTAAAAATGGTCAGTTCTCAGGTGGTCCTGGGGATTTCAGTAAATGGTTATCTCCCGGTGCAATTGTTTTTCTAGAAGCATTTATTCATTCATCCATTTATTCTGAATAGGCTCCATCATATAACCCTGGCTGGCAGAGCACTACGTAGACCAAGCTAGCCTGGAAATTCATAGAAATCTGCCTGCTTCTGCTTGTCGAATGCTGGAATTAAAGGCCTGTGCCATCACACCCAGCTCTTACAGCTCTTTCTTACTAGTGTGAATGTGATTTACTTTTTTTTTTTTAAAAGATTTTATTTATTTATTATGTATACAACATTCTGCCTCCATGTATGCCCGCATGCCAGAAGAGGGCGCCAGATCTCATTACAGATGGTTGTGATCCACCATGTGGTTGCTGGGAATTGAACTCAGGACCTCTGGAAGAGCAGCCAGTGCTCTTAACCACTGAGCCATCTCTCCAGCCCCTGTGATTTACTTTTAAATAATACTGTAAAAGAAAGAAATAGAAAAGGAATGTTTTGCTGACAATTGTATTCTCTGCCTGAAGCTCATCTTGTCTATTTTTGTTGAAGGAACAGCACCAGGCCTTTCTGTACCAGCTAATGCAGCAGCAGCACCACCCACCTGAGCTCCAGCAGCTCCAGCTCCCTGGGCCCACACAGATCCCCATCAACAACCTCCTTGCAGGCACTCAGGCGCCCCCACTTCACACGGCCACCACCAACCCCTTTCTCACCATCCACGGGGACAACACAAGTCAGAAAGTCACAGTAAGTATGTTTCGTGATATACTGTGGGAGGCAAGGATCATAGCACAGATGGGTGGGTGCTCTTTAACCAATGTTTCCTCCAGCAACTGGATATTGTAAATAGAAGGTCTAAGCTAATTGAATTTCCATATAAGGTTTGAAGGCATTTTCCTAAATGTTTTAGTTAGCAAGATATGAGAGAGCCCATTCAAAACAGATTATTTAAAACGAGATTTTAATTTGTTTATTGAATTTTTCTCCCTTCAATTTTATGTGTTTAATTATTTTGTTCCAACATGCTTTTTTAAATGATGTTGCATATTTGATATGGTAAATATACAAACTTAGGGCAGTATTCTGAACTTGGCACAGTGTTTTTAAGGAACCTAGTACAGAGAGATGACTGCAGTACTTGAGGGCATCCAAAGCCCCCAAGTTCAGCTTCAGCCCCACAGCCACAGCTGCTTATAACTCTAGCTCCAGGAGGGCCATGCCCTTTCCTGGCTCCTGTAGGCACCTGCACACACACGCATAAACCTACACACAGTTGCACACATACACAAATTTAAATCTTCAAAAAATTAATTGTAAGCCGGGCGGTGGTGGCGCACGCCTTTAATCCCAGCACTCGGGAGGCAGAGGCAGGTGGATCTCTGGGAGTTCGAGGCCAGCCTGGTCTACAAGAGCTAGTTCCGGGACAGGCACCAAAGCTACAGAGAAACCCTGTCTCGAAAAATCAAAAAAAAAAAAAATTAATTGTAATTACAATTTTAATAGAATATAAAACTTCAATGTATTGATTTTATGATTTGTAAATCATAGCATCTGGCCCTTTGGCTGAAGACAGGTGAGACTGCACGAACAGCCTGCACACAGGAGCTTGGGTTAGGGCTGCTTGCCTGTGTTAGTTCCCCTTGCCCAGGTGAGGACAGATGCATGGAAGAGGAAGAAGGCACTGCAGTAGAGAAGGGAAGCCAGGTCAGGAGCCAGAAGGAGGAAGAGGCCTGGAGGTTGGGAGGGCAAGGACTTAGGAATGTTAGCACTGGTATTGCCATGCTCCATTGCTTTGAGATTTCTCTCTTGTTTTAATGTTAACTTGAAACATCAGTGTTCATTTAGTAATGAATACTGCTTCAAAATCTGGGTTAGCTGTTGAGAGTCCTTTGTATTTGTCCTCTTGCTGTGCCTGCTCCCTGAGTGCGAGTACTGTCACCATGGGTCTCGTCCCTTTCTCCATCAGCGAGTCTGTGTTTATATGTGTGGACGTTTGATGTTATCTCCTATTGCTGTTGCTAATGGATATGTTCCATATTTAAAATAGATTAATTATAAGCCAGTTCTTCCCAAGTTATGCAATATGAGATACTTTAAATGAAAGAATCACAATAAATAATTGGAGAATAACCATCCTCCTGGGGTGTTTACAGGCACATTCCTGTAAACTGCTTGGGTGTCTGCACCAGGGGGATAATGAGTTAGAGTCGAGTCCTGAGTCATGTAGAGAGACCTCATCTGTCCATCTGTCTGGATCTCTCTCCCCTTCCCCCAACACCCTCTCAGAGACAGGGTCGCTACATAGTCCTAGATGTTCTAGAATTCACTTTGTAGATCAGGCTGGCCTCAAACTCATGGAGATCCACCTTCCTCAGCTTCTGAGTACTGGGACTTAAGGTGTGCACTTAAGGTTTGAGACCCCATCTCAAACAAACAAGAGAGCACTAAGAGGAAAGTGGACTAGGAGGGAAGTCATGGGGTCCCTGCAGGTCCCAGGGCCATGGGATACACTGTTGATTGGTTTCAGCCATCTGATGATAGTGCGGCCCTGCTCAGAAAACACACAACATTGGGTCAGAACAATGACTTTCTTAGTCCATAACACTGCGGTATTGGCCATACTTTGCTTCTCCTTTGGAAAAGTGTGTATGGAAGGGCAATTCTGCACCCCTTCCTTGGGGACTGTTTAAGGACAGGCACACCACCTTTATGCCTTCACATATGCCCAGTGTGGTTTCTAAAGACTTTCTTAGAAAATTAGTGTACACTGTGCTACAAAGTAGCCAGCCTCAGGATAAACCACCCCTGCTCCTTGTATAAGTTAGAGGGTATTGTCTTGGCCAGAATTGATTGAACTAATTCTTCTAATTTGTTTTGTTTTGAACTACAGAGACTTAGTGATAAAGCTGGACCTGTAGCTCAGGAGAAAAGTTGACACTGAAAGCCTCTGCTGCTCCTGCTCCCTGGGCGGCTCTGCACCTCTGCACAGCTGTGATGACGGAAGGCGGCAGGGGTGCACAGGAAAGGACGTCACGTGCACTCCTAGGAGGCTTTGCTTAGTTTTCCTGCCACTTTGTTGCACTGAAATGAAATTCCTATATCCCCATCCCCTGCCAGAGTGTTTGAACGTTGGAAGAAAAATGAATAACTTTTTTGTCAATGAGATAATTCACACGCAGAGTTTATCAACCCAGGAAAATGTAATGTGCTTGATCCCCAGCTGGTCTTGTCACATTAGAGACACAGATAGTGAACTAAAGACTTAGCTCATTTGCAAACCACTTGGTTTTATTGTAAAAGTTGGAATATAAAATATGATCTCATTTGGGATAGAGTGTGGCTGCTCTTTAGGGCAGAGCGTATGTCTTGAGAACTGTCCAACTTCTTTTCCTGCAGTTGTAGTCACTGAGTGCTGTGATCATACAGGTCCTCACCTGGGGCTTTGCAAATGTTTTAAAATTTTTATTGTAATGAGATTTTTCCGTTTGCTGATCAGATTAGGATGGAAACACCTGCTTCTGCTGACAGTCTTACAAAAAATATTTTTTTTATTGTTAAAATCTATTCCATTTAAAGAGATCTTGAGTTAAGTGAGTTCTAAGGCTGCTGGGAAAACCAGATCAATTAGAAATGAATAATTTTTTTTTTTTCAGAAAGAGACACCAATATGGCAACTGCTGGTAGGGTCTGGCTGGCCTAGATCAAGTGCCTGTTCGGACTCCACATGAAAGGGCTCCAGACAGCAGAGTCGGCCACTGTGCCAGCAGCCGTCCCCGAGCCTCTGCCTTTGTTGAGACTTCTCTACGTCACTGTCGGGCTCATGCAAACTCTCACCTTGGTATTTGTCCACTCATGACTCACAAGGAAGCCAGTGGATTGGGGAGAGTATATGTAGTCACCCTCTCAGGAGTGCCCATAGGAATGAATGGGCCACCACAGTTCCTGAGTTCTGTCTCTCAGAATTTTGACTTTGGGTAGTCACACTCTTGATTGTGACAGTATGGCAGACGGGTAGGTTAAACAATTGGGGATATAATCACTGATCTGTTTCTGAAATGCATGACTTACTAGTGGAAAAGACCCAGCTGCAGTTCGACCTCCACTGTGTGCTTAGCTGGAAGAACAAGCTAGCTCCGCAGTCTGTCTCCTGGTGACTGCACAGTTCTTACCTCACTTCTGTAAATACGGTTTGTGAATCTGTTTTGTAATGTGAAAAATTCATAAGATAACATTGATATTTTGATTTGTAATATTTCTAATTGGTAGATTTAATTGAAAAGTAAAATTAATTTATTTTTATATGTTCAGGGGAATTTTAAAGTCAAACCTTTTGTAGATAATTTCAAAGAATCAGTGTGGTTTATTTTACTTATTTAACCCACTGGTTGTTATTCTGTAACAATTTGTATAAATGGTAAATTTTGAATGTGCTGTTATTTTCCTTAGATGTAAAATTCCACATGTATTAAAATGTACAAAGTTTTGTTAATAAAATTTAATGATGTTTATAGCCCTGTGCCCTGCTGTTTTGGACAGATGACTGTCCTGAGCCCATGAACCCTCGTGTGCAGTGCGCTGTGTTGTTTGTTCCATGCCATCTTAGAGTTGTCTGACTTCTTAGGGGTGGGCTGTGCAGAACAGCATGGAGCAAATTAGCAGTGGCCGGAGATGGCAGGTGATTGTTGAGGAGAACGGATGGGGTGTGTCCATAGTAAGAGGACAGAGGCTTTGTTCCAAAGGAGACAGTTAATTATACTACATTAGCCGGGCGGCAGTGGCGCACACCTTTAATCCCAGCACTTGGGAGGGAGAGGCAGGCGGATCTCTGTGAGTTCGAGGCCAGCCTGATCTACAAGAGATAGTTCCAGGATAGGCTCCAAAGCTACAGAGAAACCCTGTCTCGAAAAAAAAAATATATATACTACATTAAAAAAAATAACATACATTGGGGCTGGAGAGATGGCTCAGTGGCTAAGAGCATTGCCTGCTCTTCCAAAGGACCAGAGTTCAATTCCCAGCAACCACATGGTGGCTCACAACCATCTGTAATGAGGTCTGGTATCCTCTTCTGGCCTGCAGGCATACACACAGACAGAATATTGCATACATAATAAATAAATAAATAAATGTTTTAAAAAAATAACACACCCTTGATTGAAGACTAAGTTCACTTGTTCACAGTAAAATAGGGTATTCTCTTTGAGAGAATACAGATGTGTTTAATGAAGGATGCATTGGGATGTAGAGGTGTGTTGTCATTTCTTCTTGGTAATCAAGAGTTGAGTGATCAGAAAAATCCAATCCTAGATACCTATTTTATTTTAATTGAGACAAGGGGCTCATGTATCCTCCTCAGCTCAACTCAGTGTGTAGCTAAGGTCGGCCTTGAACTTGTGATCCTTTTGCCTTTGCTTCCTGGGTGGTGGGGTTACAGGTATGTGCTGTCTCTCCAGGTTTATCTGGTGCTAGGATAGAACCAAGGGTTCATGCAAGTACTTCTGGGGGAGCTACGAACTTTACCATGGACTGACTGTTAGGTTTGTGGAAAGAGACAAATAAAAAATTGACTTTAGAAAGTCTTTTTTTGTTGGGCAGATGTGGTGGTTCACACCTGCAAACCCAACGTCATCCGCTTTTGCAGAGGGCTCAGGTTCGGTTCCCAGCATCCACGTGGTGATTCAACTATTTGTCACTCTACTTTTAGGGTGGCTGATGCTGTCTTTTGGCCTCTGGCCACAGTGCACACAAATGGTACATATATGCACACGGAGGCAAACATTCACCCAAACTGTGAGAAAAAAATGTCTGGGCTCCATTTGACAGGGGTCTATAGACTTGTTCACCCAGCTGCTAAACTGTCCCCCAACCACAGGAAGCAAGGGGGCTCCTCATAGCTCTGGGCAGTTTATAGGAGCAAGAGGGCCTGATTTCAAGGAGGCTCTTAGGATGAAATGTCCCTTTGCTGCGCTGAGTGAGCCATGTGCTTCAAGTCCACAGAGGCAGGTACAGCTGGGTTGGTGCCGAGTACCTGTAACCCCAGCACAGGGAGGTAGAGGCAGGGACTTCAGAAGCTCAAGGTCAGCAGAATTCAAGTCTCATTTGGGCTACTTGAGATCCAGTCTCAAGAACCAAAGAAAGAAAATGAACCAGCCACCCTGGAACCATCTTTCTCCTAAATTAAACCAACCCTTTAAAGTGAGATGGCAGTGTTTGTGCAGCACTGGTACCCTGGGCCTTGGAGATGTGGGCAATTGCTTCACTCCTGACCTGTGCCCCCGGCCAGGAAGCTCTGTTAAGCCTGAGGTCGATGTCATGTTCCAGGCTACATTTACTCTTCTCTCAGTGTTTATAGTGTTGTGCCCAAATCTGCAAAGTCCCTGCAAAAGCCAACAAGGAGACCGAGTCCCATATTTAAAAGCAAAGAGCCTTTATTTTATGCAAGTTTACAATCTCGGTCTCTCCACATGTCCAACGTATTGTAATAAACGGAGAGCCCCGAGCTCAGTTAGAATAGGGTTTTATAGTAGTAAAGGTGGGGGTGAGGGGTTTCCTCTTCTGACCTCCAAGGGCAACAGGAATACATGGGGTGCACAGATATACATGAAAGCAAAATACACAAAAATCTTTAAAACAAGAAATTATCTTAAAGGTTTTAAATTACATTTATTTGTGTGCATGTGTATATGTGGGCTGCTTGTGTGTTGTTGGTCACAACACAAAGGTGGACAACTTTAGAGATTGGCTCACATTTCCCATCATGTGGTTCCTGGAGAGGCATTATCCACTTAGCCAGCTTCCTCTCTCTCTCTTTTTTTTTTTCTTTCTTTCATTCAAATTCTGCCTGATGCACCTGTTTTTTTCTCCTTGGCTGGCTAACAGGATTCCTCAAGTTTTTGGCCACACAGTCCCCTGTTATAAGAGGGTCAGTGCTTAGCCCTTGAAGACACAGGAGGATTTGGTTGTAGTCAATGCCTGTTTGCAGTCTCCCATTTGGTGTATGCGAGACCACTGTGGGAGTTCTCCTTGGGGCTAATGAGCTGGGCCCTGGAGGACGGGCCACTCTGGCCTCATGATGTGCTGTGAGAGCTTCCCCCAGTCTGCAGTGGGCAGCTCTGACATTGCAGTGGCGCACACGCCCTTGGCCTTGGGTTTTACTGTGGGACTCTGGGGAAAGCTTTGTCCTGTCAAAGTTGCCCAGCTTGTCTTGTGAAGAGACACAAGTCACATCCTGACCAGGTATGATCTCACAGCTCGTTTGCAGCAGCTTATTTCATTCTCAAGTAGGTGGTGTAAAATGTAATCAAAACCCAGGACCAGGGAAAAGTCAGGCCAGGCTCGGGCCGCCTGAAGAAAGCAGGTGCTCCCCGGAGTGCCATGCTGTCCTAGAAGAGCCTGCAGTGGCCTTGCAGAGTGGCAGCCTTGCAGGGAGAAGGAGCAGAAGGCCGGAGCCAGAGCAGGAGAGAGCTGGGCCTGGCCCTAGCACAACTGTGCTTCCATCGCCAGTCTGGGGTCAAGCTGAACTCTCCAGGCCCTCAGCTCTGTCCCCACACTCCCAAAAGCCAGAATGATGGTCCACAGCACCAGGGGCCACAGGTATGGGGTGCAGCCCTGTCCCCAACAGAACTTTGTTTCAAGAGAAGGCAGTACACCCCAGGCTTCAGCTCTTCAGCACCGCCAGAGGGTGCCCTGGCTGTATGAGGTGGGTGGCGGAGCAGGTGGGGCTGTTGGAATGGCCAGGTTCCGGTCAGAAGTGGGCAGGATTCAGTATGATGCCTGCACCCCGCTGCTGCACTCATCTGGAGACCAGGATAGTGACAGGACAGTAACTCACTGGGAGATAGTTCCCTGTCTGTCTGACATACGTCTATGGTGAAGTGCCAGCCGTGGAGCCCCAGGCCTCCTGCATGCTAAACAAATGCTCAAGTGTTATGTCACTGAGCCACATTCCCAGCCCAAGTCCCACTTTTAACACAATGAGACCATAGGCAAAAGTCAAATTTCCAAGAGGAATTTTGTAAGCCAAGCTCTTAAAATCAAAACAGGTGGGATAGGCTGAAGACATGCTGTGGCCTTAACTGCAGTAAAAGCTACGTTGTGAAACAGATTAGAAATAGAATTTGGTTTAAATAATGAGCTATGTCATCTTAAACATCTGAGCAGTGACAGAAAACAGGACAAGTTCTGGTTATATTCCAGATAGCACTCTCCTGTGAGATGGACAGCTAGCAGAGATTTTTCTTCCCCTTTCTAAGCTGTCTCCCCACATGATTAACTGTCTTTTGCTGTGTAGGCTTTGGCTTATCATGGGCCCATTTGAGATTATTTCCTGAGTGACCCTTGCCTACAACTTTATCTTGAGTGATATATTGATGTTAGCACCTTCATGATTTACCACCTAGGGGCCAAGCCTTCAACAATGAGCCTTTTGAGGGGACAACTCATTTTAAGAACTGTAAGAATATCAGACAATGTAGATTCAAGTATTTCCCACATTGGAGGCAATTCCGTGGAATGCTGGAGTAGAAGGGAGATGAAATGACCACCAAGTTTACCCACCGTTAAAGCCACGACATCTGAAACATTATAATTGCACAATCTGGCAAGAATAGGTGATTTAGGCTAGAATCTTGGAAGCATTTGGATTACTTAGTGAATTATATAAACGCCTGAAGGATACATGATGTAACATTCCCCTCTGAATGCTATTAGTATGTCTTATTACCATTGGTTAATGAAGAATCTGCTTTGGCCTATGGCAGGGGAGAATTTAGCTAGGTATAAAAATGAAACTGACTACAGGGTGGCCGGGAAATGAAAGTGCAGTCTCTGTTTACATATGATGCCCAATGTTCAGCAACATACATTCACGTAAAGTCTAAGAAAGCTTAAAGAAAAGGGCCTCTGGATGCACCAAAAAAAACGCTAATTGGAGCTTCTTGGTAGCCACATTTTTCAGATAGGCTGTTTGCTGGTCACAAGCAGAGGTGTGGCTTCTTTAAGACACATCTTCCTGGTTCATAAGGGCAGCACGAAAGGCTCTGGCTCTTTCAGGAGGTCCTGCTACAGAGTACTTAAGTGGTGTGTGTGAGCTGCGTGTTACAATTTTTTAATATTTATTGAGCTCTACATTTTTCTCTCCTCCCCTCCCCCATCAACCCTCCTCTAAGGTTCCCATGCCCCCAATTTACTCAGGAGATCTTGTCTTTTTCTACTTTCTACTTCCCATGTAGATTAGATCTATGTAAGTCTCTCTTAGTGTCTGCACTGTTGTCTAAGTTCTCTGGGATTGTGATTTGTAGGCTGGATTTCTTTGCTTTATGTTTAAAAACCACCTATGAGTGAGTGCACGTGATAATTGTCTTTCTGTGTCTGGGTTACCTCACTCAAAATAATGTTTTCTAGCTCCATCATTTTCCTGCAAAATTCAAGATGTCGTTATTTTTTCTCCATTGTGTAAATGTACCACATTTTCCTTAACCTTTATTCAGTTGAGGGGCATTTA